AATGTTTGCCAATATCACTTTCTTGGCCTAATGCTAATCGACTGCATTATAAATCTGGATTGTTCTGTTAAACTATAATGGTTTAAGATTATGACAAAACAGTAAAAACTCACTGTAGTGATTGCTACAGATTCTCAAAACAAACTACCTTAAGTGTAATGTTTTATAATTTCAGGCGATTTACCGAGTTTGACGGATTTTTAATGCCGCACTATTGCAAGTCACAGTAGTGTATGTAGGTTGTTCTTTGTGTACAGCAAGCTCTCAGTAGTACGAGGCAGTTTATGCTATGTCTAACTTAGATGTCTCTGTAGCGTAGTAGTTAATCAGTAAACCTTTGAACTGGTCTCTTCTGACATCACAAGAAGGTGTCTGTGATTAGAAAAGTGGCTGCTGACCGAAGGCCTTAGCAATTTTACAACCGCAATTCACTCAGATTCATTTTAGCGACCCTTCGTCCCCCTTTGGTGGAGAACTGCTTATCGGTGGTACTGATCCGGCGCGCTACGAAGAGCCGATCATTTGGGCCAGTATCACAAAGCAAGGCTACTGGCAGTTTCAGATGGACGGCGTGTTTGTAGAATCTGAAAGCACTGGTTGTGCTGACGGCTGCCCGGCGATCGCCGACAGCGGCACTTCACTGTTCGTTGCCCCTGAGGCAGAAGTGGAAGCGATCGCAAAGCAAGTCGGTGCCGTAAAGATGATCAAGAATCAGGTATATCTTAAACATGCATTACAACTTAGCATACCGGTTTCTGGTGTAAGCCAATGTCTTACAGCTTCTCATGTGTCGGATCGCTACTACACAGCCTATGTTGCTGGGTATGTAGAGATTGGGTGCTATGTGAAATGAACCCTGTCGGTTGAAGATTAAATATTAATAAGATTAAGATCTTATGACGTTATTCCGTCGCCGATAAACCCTCTTTCTCGCGTTTAAACAGGAATCATATCACAAGGGAATCAAGATTCGTCCGGCAATGCGGAATTAAATTCTGTACGGAAATGAAACCGACAAATATAGAAGGCACGAAGGAGAAAAGAGTGAGTGACCGCGAATAAAGAACAGGTTAGAAAATGAACATCAGTCAAAGCCAAACAGCGCTGTCAAGGTCTTGTTATCCCTAAATAAAAGCGAGGTTTCGAGAAAAAAGTGTCCTCCTGGCAGAAGTATTTTTAAGTCAAGATGGGTGTACTGCCAATCAGTCGGGTCAAAGTAGGAAATGCACAGGAAGTGAAATGTTGACCAATAAGTTGTTTCCACTATAGACTTTGTAAGTGATTCCAAATCTCCATCTGCATTGGCAGATCATTCAGCTATAGACTATTTTTTCATTACGGTTTAATGGTACATATGTACGTC